CATTCCTGCAAGGACAAACACAGGATGAAGAGTGAAAGAACTGGCTTCATCACTATTTAAATAATTTTGATGGTTGCCTGGCTGGTTTGTCTTTATTGTTAATGTATTACTGCAGGGCATGGAAACTCTAGTTACATACCAGGTCCCTGCTGAAGAGACTGTAAAATAAGTAACTCTAACAAGATTATTCCTTATAAAAAACAACTCAATGGACTTACTGACTGTAGATCTAACACTGACCAGTATGTTCACAGTACTACTGTAATGTTTCAAGCATTCAACCATCTGTGATACCGCTGTACTTTGATCTTTTTCAGTATGGTTTGCTGGGATATTCACCACTGAGTGTTTTTTGTTCTTCAGTGTCACACATGGCTAATGAGTCGAGGCCCTGCCCATGTGATATTGGAGACAGGTTTGACTATGGAGGCCGTGGCCAGGAAGTGCAAGTTGAGCACATCAAGGCCTACGTTTGCAAACCACCTGCCAGCACAGGCAAAGCTGTGATTGTGATTCATGATATATTTGGATGGCAACTCCCCAACACCAGATACATGGCTGATATGCTGGCGGCTAATGGATACATGTAAGAAATACTTCTGTCTTCAGAGTGGCTTTTTAGTAAGAAAGCCTGTTGAACCAACTACTTCCTTACCTTTTTTTATTTAAACCATATAAACACAAATAATTTCATAGGCTTTGCTTACATGTTTCTCTAAAGAGTTTCCTGTTTTGTCCTGAAAGACATTCTGTGAAGGTAAAATGTACCATCTTGTGCCAAAGAGAGAAACAAGTTCCCAAATACGAGAAAAGCATATTGAGCATTCTCTTTCCTCTATTACTGGGTTAGCATTCCTTCTGGCCCAAATGTATGTACCATGTAAATTGCAGGAAACCACTAAGGAGTTTCAATTGCAGTTAACAATTTGTCAAATTATGTTATGAATTTTAACAGGGTAAGGTGTATCTGGAAGTTATGCTAAGTCTCCTGACTACACATAGGAAAATGAGGGTTGCTTATGTAGTGCTTTGGTGTAGATTAAATTCTGTGCGTCTTCAACAAAATTAATTTATTGTGTAGTACACATAGACTTCCCTTTAATCCTTTCTCACTATTATTTCATGGGCATCATTGTTTTTCTTGCAGAGCCATCTGCCCTGATTTTTTTGTGGGACAAGAAGCTTGGAAACTTTCTAACGACTGGGCGTCCTTCGATGACTGGCTGAAAACCCGAAATGCCAGCAAAATAGACAAGTACAACTGTTATTCCTTGTCCAGCGAGTGGACATCCTGCTTTCATAGGAATTGTTGCTGCAGTAAAGATGCAGGATTAGATCCTAAATTATCAGCAGGTCAAATACAGCTGGATGTCCACAAGCAGAATTTTCATGCAGTTCATGGGTCAGGGTCATGGTTATGTGAGGAGTGCTCTTTGGAGAAAAGTAGAACTTCAAATGCCCACTGTTTACCTGTGCAGAGAGTAGAAGTGAGATTAGTTACTCAGAAAAGAACCAGCAAAGGCTAGAAAATGCAGCTCATCCCTTCCCTTCAGTTTGATTCAATTCCCACAGGCAGGCACAACTTCTGTGGATTTCAGATAGGGTGCAAATGTAGTCACCAAACACTATTGAAGCAGGAAACATTGGTCCTGCTTCCCATCAGATCCCAGCTAGTTCAGAGAATACTGCTTTGCCATTCTTCTAGCTGTATTTTCCCCATTTTTATCTGACATGTAGTTTGATTGCATGTTACTGCTGATTTTGAATCAACAATTTCAAATTTACTTCCACAATTTCATAAAATATTTGTCTCCTAGATGAGAGACGATTTACCTATAATCAAATTTGTGATAATGGGATGCTTTTGAATGGCTGTGTGTCTCAAACTTTTATTTGTGTTGACCTATAAGATAAGAATTGCCATTTTCAAAATTAATTGCACTGCTGTTTGTAAAATCAGCTTACTAACAGTGATCTAGGAAGACTGATTTTCTCCTTTGTCTTACCCCCTGGAATTTCTCTTGTATTTTAGAAATGAGTAATAGAAAACTCGAGTTGTGGGCTGACTGCAGCCAGCAGCCATGCACCTATACTGCTGCTCACTCACTCCCCCCAAGAAGGACAGGGGAGGAAATAGGAGAAACAAAAGCAAGAAAACTCATGGGTTGAGGCAAAGATGGTTTGCTAAGTGAGAGAATGAGAAAAAATGGGAGTGATGCAAAGACAGTCACTCACCACCTCCCACAAGCAGAGCGATGCCCACCCAGTCTTTGAGCAGTGGCCACGTTGGAGGCCAGGGGAATAGTGCTAGAGCCTTAATTCACTTTCATTTACATGTCTCAGAGAAGTTGAAGTCATCCTGAAGTATCTAAGTGAACAATGTGGTGCAAAGGCGACTGGTGTAATTGGATTTTGCTGGGGTGGAGCAGCAGTACAACATCTCATGCTGAAAAATCCTCATTTAAAGACAGGGGTTTCTGTCTATGGTAAGTTTCAGATATATCTTACATTTTGAGCAGACATGACTGGTACAGGAATTTCTTTCTGTAGTATTACTGTAACAAAATTCAGTGTGACATCCTATGGAAAAAGGTAATTTTATTATACAAAGAGCAATTTGGTTTTGCACACTCACATTTTTGCCCTTAATCATAACCAGCAAGATCTGTGTCTTCAAGTGGCATGGCCAGGATTGCTTCTGTGCAACACAGTGTGCAAGGGACACCAAACACCAAGCCCTCATTAAGGCTCAGGTTCCTCTTGTCTGATTATCCCAGAATGCTTTCTGGGCACACCTTTTATATATTTTAGGAGCCAGCAGTTACTATGAGATGGATCTTCACCACAGTATCTTGCTTACCTCAATCCGCATAAGTCTTGGGTCAGGTTTCTGCCCACTGTCTGGTTTTCATTGTTTGGAAGATCTGTCTAACTCACATGTCTGTACTGTATTCCTCAGTTGGTGTATCAGGGAAAGACATGGCAGTAGTGATACACTGTGACCATTCTGCTGATCTTGTGTTAGAATGCAGTGTCTTTTGACAATGAGACACCCAGGCTGGAGGCTGCACAGGCTGTAGACCTTCAGGTCATGACAAGAACACCTTATTCCTCAATCTGTCTCATGGTAGTGGCCCCTTGTTACTAAGAGGAACCATTTTTTAACTCTCTTTTAAACCTTGCACTCTCATACTTCCATTCTTAATGCATTTATGCTACCTTTAATGGCTTTTTTATAAACTCTTCTACATAAGCCAGAGCAATTTATATTAATTTGAAGTGAAAGGAAGTTGAAAGTATTTTTCCAACAAGTTTATGGTGACTGATTTGCTTCACTGATGTGCTGATCAGCTGAGCCAATTCAACAGCACTACTTGCTAATTTTTTTCCTTTTCTGTTGTAATAATTTCAATAATGAAAAAAGTGACCAGGGTGGTAGCTATTTAGTTTTACTATTACTTAAATTAAAATACATTTGCATAGTCAAAATTGCAATATAAATTTGTTATGAATTTTTATCAGTATAGGTGAATGTACACTGACATCCTAACCATGTATCTGGAATTAAAAGGATTTGCAATTATCTTAAAAATGGCCATGCCAGGCTAGAGGCAAGCAGCTCTGAAGTGTCCAACTTTCATGGGACCCTGTTTCTGACAGTGGTCAGAAGCAGATGTCCAAAGAATACCACAAGAATGGGGCAAACGTAACAACCTTTCCCTGACTTCTTCAGACAGAGCTGGTCGTTCATCTTTAATGACATCCCTTATGATGGGAGGCTCTCACAACAAAAGGGACTTTTAAGCAAAGTGTGTTGAATTCCATTAGAAGCTGAACAGCTCTAACTGATCAGAATGTCTTTTATTTTGACTGTATAGTTTTGGTAGGGTTTTAAGCACTTTAAGTAGCATTACTCATTGTATATGCCTCTCCTCCTTCCCTAGGAGTGATCAAGTTCTTTGGGGATGGGTTCAGTTTGCTTCACCCCACTTTCTTCATTTTTGGTGAAAAAGATGATGTCATCCCTTTGGAGCAGGTGAGTGTCTCATCAGAGATGTTTGTCTTATCCATGCTATTCATGCTTGTTTTGTAATTTGCTGTTTAATTAAGATAAAGCAAAAAAACAATTTGCACTTTTCTTCCTCTTTCACTAACTTTTACAGTAGTTCTACACAATTTTTTTGCTGTTTATCCCCAAACCAAAAGGTTTTACAGTGACATTAAAAAATGTTTTCTCTTTCTGTTGCAAAATATGGATGATTTATATATGAGAGTTCCTAGGGGGAAAATCCAAAGGAAGACTTCTCTCAAGTTTCAGATGGGGGACCCTCCTTAATCATACTGATGGTGCCTAAAATAAGCAGAGAGCCCCCACTTGTGCCAGTGGAAACACTATTTGCAACAGAATAAAAAATCTTGTGACTATCCTTTTCCTTCTCCCACTGTCCTGCAGAGCTTCTCCTTTCTAGTGCTCTGTCAGCAGCCTTCCTAGGGAGCACAGGTGGAGAATGACTGAAGGAGGATGGTTGTCTACCAAGGACAATCAAAGAGGAAGACATGCTTTCTTTGAGTGGTGTTGGCTTTAATTTTCCTGCCAAGAAGTGTCAGTAGCTTTGAATTGCCAAACCACGCTTCTCCTCCCTCCATTTCAAATTAATTAAAAATCTTGCCTCCCCCTACCCCCCCTTTTTTTTTTTTTTTCAGTGAGGTCTGCCAGGAGTAACTTGTACAGTGATCACTACCTGCTAACCTTCTTGTGACACTAAGTAATAGATGTTTTTACCTTTACAGGCATTATTACAGTAACCCATACACTTCTGTTTTGCAGGTTTATGCAGTCACATGTTGTTAATTTACTGGAGAAAAAAGCCTAGTTAAATAAAGAAACTGTAGTAACAAAAATGCATTTGGATATAAAATTAGTAGAAGAGAAAATGATGGCAAGGACACACTTTGTCTGTCTCCCAGAAAAGCCATAAAAGAGGACAAATTGAAGACTGTAAATATGTAACAGGTTAACTCTGTACTCAGCTAACATGGAACATTCTGTGTTACAGGTCACCCTTCTGGAGCAGAAGCTTAAACAAAACTGTAAAGTTGATTATGAAGTTAAAATCTACCCTGGACAGACGCATGGGTTTGTACATCGCAAAAGAGAAGATATCAATCCTCAAGATAAACCTTACATTGAGGAAGGAAGAAAGGATATGATCAAATGGCTGAATAAATATCTTTAGCATAAATAAATGTCCATAAAATACATCACTCGTTGTAGGAGATCAGAAAATAATACAAACAATATTTTGTAAAACTCCTTTGCAATAGCACTACTTTGCTCTTATTTTCTAAGTAGATGCTTAGAAATGGCTTTTCAAATGCTGAAAACTATATCTTAAAATTATTAGAATCTCATGTGGGATATTTTTTAGAATCTGAAAGTTTCAATTCTGTGTATTAATGTCAATATGATAAAAAAACCCCACTGAATCTCTGCCCACACTTGAGAAATGCTCTCTTAAAAGCCATGTTTAGTTAGTGTTGAGCTGTAAGATTTTCAGCTCCAAGATTTTCAACTTTGAGGTAAACTATAGTTCTTTTTTGGAAGGCTGGGACCTTTACTTGGGAACAGAGTATCCTCTTCAGAATTCATAAAAACAGAGCAAAAAAGAGAGAAGGGGAAGGACAATGGGAAGAAATGTATGCATACTGAAAGCAGGCTGCAAAAAGAGCCCCTTTATCTTTCACAGAATATGATCCTTCATGGTGCTGCCCCTCAGTTGCTTCCATTGCCCACAGTACTTCCCGCAGCCACCTCTCTCCCTATGCCTGGCTGCTCCCTCATGGTCCTCTCCAGCTCTCCCCAAGAGGTCTGTGATGGAGCTGCAGCCACTTGAGTGTGTGAACTCCACAGTGCCTCTGCTTCAGGTTCCCACTCGGTGGGTCCCACCCCAAGTTCCACATCCTCAGCAGTTCTTCAGCCATCCTTCCATCTCGAACCTCTTCTTCATGTCACTCCTTCCCCTTCTTACTGCAATCCACCATGTATTTCCCATGAGAAAACACACTGCATTGTTATGAAAGAAAATATTATTTCAAAAAGATTTCATGCAGACTTCTGAGGAAAAAATGCAAAAACTTCCCTTGCTCCATGGCTTATGCCCTTGGTCAGTGACTGGTGCTGTTCTCTGGTTTGGGCACTGCACATCATGTTCTCATGTCCTTGCCATTTGCTTTCAGGAGAGATGAACCTGTTCTTTGTGGGTTTAGGCAATGCAAGAAAGCCTCTTTAGGTCTGCAGGGCATTGTTGCCATGAGTCATGCTGATAAAAATAGTCTCTCCACTTTGGATGTGAGAAGTTCCATGACGCCCACCCTAATCCTGCCCTTCAGCTGGATCTGAGCAGCTTCCTGGTGACCTGCAGAGGGAGTGAAGGGCTGGACAGTGACTTCTGTGCTTCCTTCCAGACCTGACATGGTTCTGGACCCAGCATACAGAGGAGAGACAGTTTCATGTGGGACAACTGCAGACACCTCCATTCACTGGTGCAGGCACTTCTGATGCATGTGCCTGTGCAGCTCTGGAGGGAAGGAGGGTAACAACTTCTCAGAAGAAAGCAACGAGGATATATGCTTCAGATGGATAGTTTATAAAGCATTGAATCCAATTCTCAGCTGTGGATTCATGCCCAATTTATCAGGGTTACTAGGAGAACAGGCAGAGATGATGAAATTGAACTCCCTACAACTATTGTGTCACATGGACTTTAAATAAAAGAGCCTTCATTTCTCGGAAGGTAATATCTTGGCTGGCAAACCATTCCAGCTTGGTTTTTTGTGTGAATGAACAGATGTCTCAAGGAATTGGGCTGAACATTGCCAAATATGTCCTGTGACAGGGGAAGATTGAAATTGAGGAGTATTTTGTCTTTTCATTGTTTGTGGAGAATACAGAGTGGTTTGCTGTAGGATGGGTATTGCATTTGTTTTGGTTGTTTTTTTTTTTTTGTAGAAATATAGCATCTAAGATGGGAAACTCAGAATTTTGCCAGTGTTAAGATTTACTTTACTAAAAACCACACACACGTATTCCCAAAACTCACATTTGAGAATATCCTTTGTTTTCAGAGAGTGCTGATATATAGACATAGAGTTTAGATATTACAAACTCAGGTTTGTAATGTTCCATTCTACCAAACTTAGCAGCCCTGATATAGGGTAAATTACCTGCTGAAAAACTGCCAGGGTAGATGTAGTAGACATGTGTAGGGCTGATCAAGGGGGCTCTTGCAGATGCTTTTGTTCCCCTGGGCATTGTGCTATCTTGGCGATTCCTTCCCAGTAATTTTAGAGCCCTTTGACCAATTCCAAACAAAATTGACAAAACAGTGAAGTCCTCGGTGCTGTTTATTTCTTCTACATTTCTAGAAAATCTGGATGGCACAGAGGAGACAGACTCATTGCACTGAGCAAAATAGTGTGGCATAGCTCCATTGGTTCTCGGTATTATTTAGGCTGCTGGCTGGCCTGGCAGAACACAGAAAGCCCAAACCACTTGTGTAGGGGTTGTCAGAGGATGCAGGAAGGAAGTAGACTAAGGACATGTTGGAGGCAACTGAGATGCAGGGGAGCAGGAGAGCAGGGGAACAGGCTGAGGGTAACCCTGGGGATATGGTGAACTAAGACCCTGTTGGGGTTACATGGACAAAATGGAAAGGAGAACCTAGATGAGCAAAAATCTCACCTTTTGTAGACTGCATGGGATTTTGGTCACTGAGAAAGTGTTATATTGAGGAAGGCTCATGGCCTGCGTGTGAGGAATCCTTGATGGCTGAGTGAAGAATATTGTGTGGACCGAAGTGGAAGAAGTCTCCCAGAGGAAAACCTCAGGGACTGGAGAGAGACAGGACAACAGAACATGGTGGAGATCAGAGTCACGAAGAACAAGAGCAGGTATCCTGTCCTCTGCTGATGATCTCCCTTTCACAAGAAGACGGAGGTTCTTTATTATAAAAGAAAATACTAAACCACAGCATTAATATGAACCACTGGATCCTTAGCTTTCTTGAAAGCTGAACTCCAGGTCCTGATTTCTGCTCTCTAGCACAGGTATTTTGGGAGCATTCAAACAGTTCTCCATCATCAGCTGCATTGACGTTAGGCAGCTGTCACCTCTGGCTTGAGTGCATCTGGGTCTTGGAGGGGTTAAGCCCTAGGGAGGGAGCCAGAGGATTGCTGTGCTGGATTGGTGAGGCTTCAGGGTTAGAGAACTGACCAGAAGTTGAAATTGACAGAAATTGGTGAATTGATGGAAAACATGACTCACCTGTAGATTCAGCTCCAGCCCTTTTAACACCTTATTGTAACTCATGGTAGCCATGTCCACAGGCATACTGAGCTTGTTATCTAACACTGTAGTTGCCTACCTAGCATAAATTTCAGCCAGACTTGACTTTGTTCCTTTAGCTAATGACATTTTACAGTGTTTCACCACAGACAGTGAGTAGTAGCTTAGCCTCTAGCAAGGTGTCATGAAGGCACCATTTTTCAGGGAACTGGGTTTGTCACAGGCACACAAAACAATCTCGCTTCATTTCATTTAAGATAGGAAAAAATAAAGGTAGACTGACAAAGAGTAATTTGTTGCAGATCTCCCATGGGAAGAGTGATGAGAATCTGGTGGCAGGTTCCTCTTTTTGCCTTCCAAAACCTTCTGCAGCACATTTTACTTATTGTTTCTCATATTTGGCACTAAAGTATATAAAAATCCAGCAAATAACAAAATGCTTAATTTTGGAAAGGAGGGAGTGGAATGGGCTAATAAAGCTCCAAAACAAAGTTCTCCTTTCAGACTGTGGAGCAGATGGTGGCACCTGTGGCAATACATTTCCTTCCCTTCCCATCACTTTTGTATTAAGAGTTGGTGAGAAAATTTTTGCATCTTGGCTTGTAGTTTACCATGAACTTCAGCAAAGCAATGATAATGTTATTTGTTAGGGGGACTGGAAACTATTTCAATTACACTATTAAACCGTTCTTTATTTTTTCTTCCAGGTGCCTTTGCTAGGCAGGATGAAGAGGGAGCATAGAGTTTGCTGTGAAAGAGAAAGGTGTGGGAGATGGACACCGAAGAGAGCAGAGTGGTGCTGGTTGCTGAAAATCAGAGACTTGTGGGAAAACTAGGGGGTTCAAGGACCTCAGAGAGAAGGAAAACAGACACTATGAAAAATAGGAACAGGCTGACCCTGGAAGACCACCTTCACTAGTCCATGTAAATCTTACCTGTGCAGATTTTTTTTGCTTGCCAAGGGTCTGTTACATAAGTATTGTCTTTCCACGAGGACAAGAAGTCTGCCGAATTAGGCAATTAGTCTACTAAATAGACAAGTGATAGGTGTAGGAGGCAGATGGTAAGGCAGAACAAGCGAAAATGGAGTGTCAGGGTGGGAAAAGACACTGACAGTGATGGTGCTTCCTGAAGGTCATGGGTATCCAATGCCTCCCCTCAGTCTCCCTTAATAGGCCAAGAATCTGTTCTGGTTGAACACAAGATAATGTGAGCAGAGACACCTTGGAGCAACAAGCCAGCAGCACTAACTGGAGGTAGAGCCCCTGTGTGGAGAGAGCTAAAAGGAGATCTGCTTCAGAAGAGAGGCAGTGGGTCAGCACTGGAAAGGCAGAGGACATTTTTATTTCCAGGTCCCCTAGAGATCTGAGGAGATAAACACTCCCTGCTGTCACTAAGTCTTTCTTCATCACACTGTGAGCAATGGCACTGTAAGAGACAGGTGGCCTTGTGTTGCTTCATGGCTGTTGCTGGGTGATTTGTAGATCTTTTGCCAAAGTGCCCAGGATAGTGGCAGGAAGTAGACAGCGAAGTTAGTAGGGTGCTGGAGGCTAATCCTCAGTAAGACAAAAGGAACTTCAGGAAAAATGGACATCTGGGATTTTTCTGGGATCTCCCCCACCCCTGTCTTTTGCTGAGCCCTAATTTCACTGCTTCCCCAAATGTACTTATTCTGCTGGGCTGAACCAAGGGGTACATGCAAAGGGAGTTGAAGAAGTATGTGTCAGGATGTTTCAGCAGAAAGACAAGGAGATGGTAAGCAATTTAAAGAAGAAGGCAATAAAACAGGAATGAATAAAGTGGATTAAGTTTCTTCCTCACAGGCCAGTTGGGGAATGGTTGGTCTGGAGGAAGGAGAAGAGCTGGAAGAGAAAGGAAAAGAAAAGTATCTGC